TTAGACCTGTCACTAAGGGCCAGGAAAAGGATAGTTCCACAGATCCAACAATTGCCAAGCTGCTGGAAGAGTTCCAGGATTTGACTGAGTCGCCGGCAGGAGTAGTGCTGCGACCCATCCAGCACAGGATAGAGATAGAGCCTGGTAGTAGAACTCCTAAGGGTGCAATCTACAGGATGTCCCCTAGAGAGTTAGAGGAGCTTCGCAAGCAGTTAGACAAACTTTTTAAGAAAGGTTGGATCAGGCCTAGTTCATCTCCTTTCGGAGCACCCGTTTTGTTTGTCCCCAAGAAGGAAGGAGAGCTGAGAATGTGTATAGACTATAGGGGTTTGAACGCGATCACAATAAAGAACGTTGAGCCGCTACCCAGGATAGACGATCTTTTAGATCGGGTACACGGTTGTAAGTATTTCTCTAAGATAGACTTAAAGTCCGGATACCATCAGATAGAGGTTCATCCTCATGATCAGTACAAGACTGCGTTCCGGACTAGATATGGGCATTATGAGTTTATAGTGATGCCCTTTGGACTAACCAACGCGCCAGCTACTTTTCAGCATTGTATGAATAACCTGTTTAGACCGTGGTTAGATAAATTTGTAGTAGTCTACTTAGATGATATCCTAGTTTTTAGTAAGACTCTTCAGGAGCACCAGGGTCATCTGAGGCAGGTCTTGGGGAAGCTTAGAGAGGCTAACTTCAAGATCAATGCGAAGAAGTGCGAGTGGGCCAAGACGCAAGTCCTGTACTTGGGCCACGTATTAGACGGAGATGGCATTAAGCCCGAGGACAGCAAGATAGCGGCGATTAGAGATTGGCCGACGCCCCGCACATTGACAGAGTTGCGGTCATTCCTAGGCTTAGCTAACTACTATAGGAAGTTCGTAAGGAACTTCTCTACTATCGCCGCTCCCTTGCGCAGGTTGCTGAAGAAAGAGGCAATCTGGCAATGGGACAAAGACTGTACGTCTGCGCTCAAGAAGTTAAACCAACTGGCGCTGCCCAACTGCCTGAATTTCCCTGAGTTGCAAGGTGGCCAGAAAAGGGCCCTGAGGGCCTCGTCGAGCCGGCCTTCACTTAGGGCGGCCGACGGGCTGCAAAAATGGGGCCTTATGGGGCTTATAGAGGCAGTGGCCTCGCATTCCCTCCTCCTTAGCTTCAACAGTCCTCTGAGAAGCTCAGTCTTCAACCATGGGGCGCTTTCCCTTCTGCACAGATCTCTCGTATTGGGCTACAAATTGAGGAGCGGTCTGCATGAGTTCTTCCCTGGTGAACCAGCGGTCCTCCTTCGGATCAGTGTGATGCCGGAACCAAACGCGGTACTGTAGCTTCGGTTTCGGAGGACGTCCCCTGCCTGCTGGTCTTGATACCGGCAACTCTCTGTGATCCACGATGTCGTCGATGTCCACCTCTCCATCCATGGTTGGGGGCAGCATTGAGCGGCGAGATGGAAATTGATCAGTCACTTTGAAAGGTGCCAGCTTGGATGCGTGAAAGACAGGGTAAGTACGGAGATGACCTGGGATCCGGATAACATAAGATGGCCCATCCGGATCTGTCCCAACGATGTCCAAGACTTCCCAGGGTCCAAAGTATTGGGGCATGAGTTTGCGGGAGATCCCGTGCTCCTGTCCCAATTCTGAAGACTTAACCCAGACCCTATCCCCAACCTGAAATGTAGAAGGTCGGCGATGTCTATTCTCAGACTCTATCATTGCAGCCTGCACCTTCTGCATCTGTTCTACAGCCTGCTGCATCTTCTGTTCATAGCAATATGCAAATTCTAGGATACCTGGTGCAGCAGTGGATTGATTCTCAGGGAGAAGGAAGTCTAGGGGCAGTTTTGGCTTGAATGTGAGCAGTAAGTTATTTGGGCTCATCCTCGTGGCGCTGTGTACAGTGTTGTTATACAAGCTGGAGATGAGAGCAAGCTTCTCATCCCAATCTACCTGGTTGGGCTTGATGTAGTGCCTCAACAGGTGTTGTACAGCGCGGTTCAGTTGCTCGGACTGTCCATTGGCCTCTGGATGATTCCCAGAAGTCATCTGCAACTGAGTGCCCTGTTCTGCAGCAGCAGCCTTCCACAACTCGCTGGTAAACCTGGCATCCCTGTCACTGACAATAGACTTCGGTAAACCAAAGTCTCTAACCCAGTTCTCTTTGAACATTCGGATCACGTACTTCGTCTTTGCTGTTTCCGGCATGGCTACTAACCTAGCATACTTACTAAATCTATCCACAATGACGAAGATGTGATGCATCCCACTCTTGCTGGTGATCAGAGTATCCATGAAATCCATGGACAGACTCTCACCAGGCCGTTCCGGAATCGGAAGGGGCTTCAGAAGCCCGAAAGGAGCTTGCGTACGTGGCTTGTCCCGTTGACAAACTTGACAAGTCTCCATGTACAGTTGGGCATCTCGCATCATCGTGGGCCACCAGAACCGCTGCAGCAAGTTGGCTGCGGTCTTCTTATACCCAAAATGGTCGGTGGCATCATGACAGTCTCCTAAAAACAAACTACGCAAAGACTCACTATTGGGAACACACAATCGTTTATTCCCTACCTTCTCAAGGAACAGCAAGCCATCGACCAACTCAAACTCGGCAGAGGTCTTCTTGTCCTTTGCCTGAAGTCTGCGTATGATCTCAGACATGAACTGGTCCTCGTGATAGGCTTCAACCAAGGACTAAGTAACATCGTCCGTCAGATTGAACTCAGTAATCAACGCACCTAAGAAATCAGGTCTACGCGACAAGGCATCCGCAACCTTGTTGTACTCCCCTTTTAGATACTGAGGGTCAAAGTCATACTGCTCGATGACTTCGATCCAACGCTTGAGGGCGTCATAAAGTACAGGATGGGTTCTCATCCATCTCAGGGTCCGATGATCAGTCCTGAGGATGAAGAATCTCCCACGGAGGTAGTGTCTCCAATGGGTTAGAGCCTTGTAAACCGCATAGAGTTCCTTCTCATAGGTGGACTTAGCCAACTTCTGAGACGACATTTTCTTGGACATGTACTCTACAGGCCTCAACTTTGGCCCCTCCTGTTGCGCGAGCACGGCGCCAATGCCATATTGGCTGGCATCCGTGGTGACTATAAACGGCTTGTCAGGATCAGGAAGTTTCAAGACCTCGTAGTGCGTCAACTCATGCTTCAAATGTCCGAAAGCAGCCTCACACTCATCTGTCCACTCCCATGGGGCGTCAAGGCGGGTCAGATCAGTCAAAGGAGCGGCCACTATGCTATAGTTTTTGACGAAAGTCCTACAGTAGCCTGTCATTCCCAAGAAAGATCTCATCTCAGTCACTGACTGACGACGTGGCCAATCACGAATGATGGCCACCTTCGCGTCATCGGGCTTCAACCCTTCCGCGGAGATCTCATGACCCAAGTACAAGACACGGGTGCGGCCAAACTCGCACTTCTCACCGTTGATCTTGAACTTGTGCTGTCGCAGGAGACTGAGGACTTTGTCCAAATGTGCAACATGCTCCTCGACAGTCTTACTAAAAATAAGTATGTCATCGAGGTACACAATGACAAACTTATCCAAGTAGTCATGGAATATCCAATTCATACCGTTGTGCGGAAACCCGGGGAGGGGTCGCCTACCGTTCGTTGCAGCCAAGGACCACGGCGCCTGTCACTCGCCACGCCCGCTTCCGAGGTCCTCAGCGAACAACAGGGGTTTCCTGTAACGGTAGGAGTAACTAATCCCATTGTGACAGTTGAACCTTACCAGCTAGTTTCTTTGTTTCGATGTAGAAATAAAACGGAGAATGAAACCCTCACTTATAATCTTAGCGCAGGAAATAGCCCTAAGTCAAACAGACTCAGCACATAGCCACGGGGCAGGAGTTAGCTCGCGTAGAAACAGTTTCATCTTATGACTCAAGGTTGAACATCATTCAGGGGAAAGCTGCCTTCTCATGATCCCAAGTGGAGAAACAGCGTTCGGTGGGTCAACGACTTCTCACGACCCAAGCAGGATACARCTYGCACAGAAATTGAGCCCTCACATTAATCGGAACCTGGGAAAAAGCATGCACYTGAATAGTCMCTTTACCAAAGCGAAGACTRAGAGCAGCGGTCYAACGAAAGCATTTCAACCCTTTTMGTTCACTCTCTCTTTGTTGCACTGCCCACTGTTTTCCGGTCCCSCGGGGTTTTCCAAATTTTTGTCCGAACCAGTGAGATAAGAGGCCGCTCTAATTAGAATGGCACCTCGTAGAGTCTTAAAGTTTTCGGAATGGAACCCTTTTGAACTGCAACAGTGGATGAACGGATTAGAGCGAGCCGGTTCAGAATTGCGGTATTTYGAATAGCAACAATGGATAATCAAATTAGAACATACTGGTGCTTAGTTAGGAGCTCCCTTGAATCAGCAAAGGCCTTCGCCGACACGAATGGTCAAATAATGAAGGATAATAATCAAATGTTCACTTTGTCTCTGTCCCTGTTCGATCTCCTTCTCCCCCTTTTCGCTCGTTACTCTCTCCCCCTCTGGCTCACTGTACTCTCTCTTACTCTCTCGCCCTTTTCGTTCTCATCAGTCACGTAATACTTCAAACAGTGCTGGCCGGGGTGGAACGGCGCAGCTCCCCTCAAGCCCGGGTTTAATGAACCGATATACGAGCTCGCACCGGACTGATCAGCGCCCTTGTTCACCTGCACCATTCATGTCAGGAAGGCAACCCACGCATTCGTTTCCAAGTATTACCCTTTGGGCAACCCAGGGCGTTTGAACCCAAGCAATAGTTACAAGCTCCTATGCAAGTTGCCTAGGCGAGAAGAAAGCAAGAGTCAACCTTCTGGTTCTGAAATTACACCAAGCTGTTGTTCAAAGCGAGTTAGCCTGCTTAGTATTGAAAAAGAACTTCCTCTAAACTCACAGTTCGATGCTTATAACCCACTCAGTATGATTAAAAAAAAAAAAAAAAAGGAGCAATTATATAAACGAATATCTCGACCGACCCCTCGTCCCTTCAGTCTTTTCTGATATGGTCTAATTTGTCCACCTCTTTGTCGACAGGCAATGAGTAACTGCAGATTCGCGTTTGAAGACCAGTTGTCCGATCGGCTGGTGAACAGAATATTCGTGCGAAACGTTCGACGCTCTTGGAGATAAGACACAAATGGATGTGCACAGCCTCACCGCCTTAATTAATACCTCTGAAGTATCTCTTCATTGCCAGTTTTCAAAAGGCCTGCCGATGATGACTTACCTGCTTTCTCTCGAAAGAGAAGATCAGTTAGCTCTCACCGTGATTACGAATCTTTCTTGCTAGTCAACGAAATGTGCAGTCTGCCATAGGACAATTAGCGTGTTGGACCTCGTAACCTGCGTCAAGGGCAGACCGATGCTTTGAGAGTTATCGCCTCTCACCGCTTGACTTTCTTTTTTTTCTCCGACCAATGAGCGATGTCTGACCTGAGAGATGGTGGCCAACGCCACATCCCTCCCCGTGAACTCCTCGTGAACGTTCACTCGGCGATTGCGCGCCTCCCCGTCACAGTATGCGAGTGTTTGCAAAGCACAGGGTAGGAAATCACGCGGCGCCAGACGTAGTATGAACACCAACCCAAATATGAAAGTATCTGGTCATTTTTCGAGCCCGATACATCCATCTTCGAAAGCCAAGATGCAGATTCCCTGCTCTCGCATGTCGTCATTCCCTCATATCCCTTCGTCATGCATCGGCTAGTTCCCCTTTTTTTCTCTGGCTTGCTCTCTCTTTCTTTTTCTCTCTCACAAATCGCTCTTCCTTGTTCCCCGATCACACTCTCACACGCGTTCTCTCGCAAGCGAATGCACTTGCCCGCTATTCCAGCCAAGCGCGCACTCTGCTCTCTTCATACTCTCGCTCTTTCAATCTGCTAGTGTCTTCCTCCCTTATCGGGAGCAGTCACGAGATCACTTAGTGTCTTCCCTTCTTCGTGTCTTCGAACTGACCGCCCTCTCACCTCTATCAACCTCACGCACGCGTTGTGGGCATACCAACTGGACTCTCCCGCTCGTGAGGAGGGCGCTGGCTGGGACAGCGAACGTCGCACGCGCTGTCGCCTGACTCGCCCCTCTCCTCTGTCACCCCACTTCGCCCGTACTCTCGCCGATTCGGTTTCGCTCCACTCAAGACATCTGCGCATAAAGCGTGCGAGAGCTCACGTTTCTTCCTTAACTATCTCGTCTTCTCTCTCTCTCTCTCTCCCCCGAGGTAACTCCCCGCGACTAACGCGCTTTCCGATAACTTCTCCAATCGCTCACACCAGAGCAACTGAGAACGCTAACACATAGACATACAAGCTCATGAGCTCATGAGCACGGACATGCTAGCGCAAGAGCACACTCTGCCAGCGCGCTACCCTCGCGTGTATCCGAACCGCGGAGCACGGGGCACGCCTGGCTCGCCTCGAGCAACCTCCGAACCTCTCCTCCTCGTGCACCGTGCACGCTTCCAACTACCTCTCTCCTCTCATCCCTACTCGCGGTGAAACCTTCCAAGCACCGATGCCGACACCCCGAGCTTGCTCGCGCGGGTACACCGTGTTCGCCCCGAGTCTCTCCTGTAACTGCCTCGCGCCGAACTCCTCCCGACTCACTGCGGCTCGAGTCAGTGATGCGCTGAGTACACCTGGCATGCGATCCCCCTACAATGCCTGGTCGTTCTCCTATATCCCCCTCCGTCCAGCTCTCGGCCTTGTATTCATGCAGGGCGCTCATAGAGGGCCACAGTCCTTCGTTGTTCCAAAATCGCTCGGGGCTAGCCCCCGGTCAATTGCAGCGCCAGGCACCCCCGACCGCACCCGCCTGATGTCCATTCCCAGTTCAGTAGACTGGCGTAATGGTCCCAAAGCTGAAATAAAGCGCCATAGTGGCACCAACCCTGGAATAAATGGCCGCAGTGACGGTGTCGAGCCTGGGTTAAATACCCGTGATAACGCCGAACCTGGAATAAACTGTCACCAAGGTCTCGAATCTGAAATGAACTACCGTAGTCGTCCCAGAGCTGAAAATAAATCACCGCAGAGGTTCCGAACCTGAAATAAATCGTCACCGTGGTCCTGGACCTGAAAATAAATCACCGTAGAGGTCCCGAACCTGAAATAAATCGTCACGGTGGTCCCGGACCTGAAAATAAATCACCGCAGAGGTCCCGAACCTGAAATAAATCGYCGTGAGGGCGTCGAACCTGAAACGAAACACCGCGATGCCACCGAACCTGACCAAACCCGAAATCCAGTACCGGGCTGTTGTGGCACGCGGACGCCGAACCCGTACAACCATGCCATGATTATTTTGTACCTGTCCCGAACCTGATATAGAATGCCGCAACCTTTCCGGACCTGAAATCAAACTGCCGCCAAGGTTCCAAACCTGGAATAACTGTCGTAGTAGCCCCGGTCCTGAGAGTAAATCACCGCAGCTGTCCCAAACCTGAAAATAAATCACCGTAGTGAAACAGCTGTCACCGGGCCCATACCGCACCTGAAGCACGTCAGACACCGTAGGACGTAGCCACTCCATAACAACCCTCGTATCCGTACCGAACCAAACACCATAGTCGACCCAAGGTAGCACCACCCCATGCTGTCCATGCGACTCCCGCTCTCAAAACATCCCAACTGCGGTAATGTTAGTAATCAAGCAAACCAGGGAAAGCAACGCAGGGAACCTCGACCATCGGCAGTAGTGAAAACTGTTAAAATCCGGGGAAAATGTTCAATCCGGGGTCAGAGCTGATGGCGGRTAATCGAGGCGAAATTAGGCCAATCTCCCAATRATCATGGGTTCCCGTCCCTTTCATCATTTTTCATCATTCTTCCCTTTCCTTAATTCTATTGTCGGAAATAGTAAATTAACCGTAAGATCCCCAAAATTAAATTCCGAGAGAGTTTAAATAAATGGTCGAATTCCTTTTGTTTCTTCTCTCTCTTACTATTTTTAATCTTTTTTTATGTTTTTAATTTCATTGCCGGGAACATAAAATAACAAGGGTATTCCCCCTAGAATTAAATGCCGTGAAAAATACAAAAATTAAGGGATATTATGTTTTTTCCTTCTCCCCTATTAGTCTTAGTCCCTTTTCCCCATTTTTAATTATGGCACTAAGATAGACAAAAATTCGAGGCCTCATTTCGGCCCCGGTCGTATGCTGCAAAAGCGTCGCGGCGAGGTCTGTTTCCGCGATGCCTCCTCGCGGCAGGCCAATCCGGCTCCAGCCCTCTGAACGGCCGGAAATGACGGTCTCTAGATACGCCGAGTGCGCCCACCCATCTCGCTATCTTTGAGGGTTACTCGTAAGGTTCAGTGTGCCCAGAATCAGGGGTACCCTGAGTTCCCCTAATTTCCGCCGCCCGGTCAAACCAGAGTATCGTCAAAACACGGACTTGCCCTTGAGCCTAGGTCCCAAAACCGCAAATTTCAGGCGGCGCACTGCTTGTGGCCGCCTGACAGTTAGCCCGGACCACTTCTCGACGCCCCCGTTGAGCCCTAGCCACTTTCGTCAGACGAAGCGGACGAGCTTCAGGGTGATTGTCCGTAAAGGACGCCCACGTCGGCGTTCAATTGTGTTACGTTTCAGTCTGTTTTGAGTTCTAGGGCTAAGTAGATGTTTTTTTACTTTCCTTCTCCGCCGGGTTCTCGGCCTTGGTAGGTTCTTTTTTTTCTTCTGTCTTTGGCTCGAGAAGGGTGTCGTCCCGCCAGTTTGTCTAATGCGGACTCTCCGTCTGGCCCTCTTGACCACGAATAACCATTTCTTCTCTCTTTCTAGAGCTAACCCTTTGACCTTTCTTTTCTCTATTCTTTTCCTCTTCTTGGAACTTTCCCCTGCCTCGAATCGCCTCAAGGGGGCTCCATCCTCCATTTTGGCTTTTCCTTTCCCTTTCGGGCTTGTCAGCGATAAGGTGGGCGCGGGCCTGGGTCTAAACAGCTTCAGCCTAGCACCCGCCATAGGGTCCTTCCACTTGGATCCGTCTAATTCTGCTATCATATATGCACCCCAGTCGAGTGCCTCAACCACTCTGTAAGGTCCCATCCATCTGTTTGCGAGTTTTCCGGTTCAGGTCCTCTCCAGTGCTGCGTCGTAGAGAAGAACCATATCTCCTACGCTCACCCTCTCTTTCCTGATCCGCACGTTCTTATCCCATCTCTCTTTACCTTTGTCCCTCTCCACTGTCAGACGATCTGCCGCTGTCATAAGGTTGTCTTCCAAACCGTAGGCTATCTGTCTTGTTCGGGCAGCTACGAGTTCCTCTCTGGACATCTCCTCCGCCCAGTCGATGGTTGTCCAGCTGTCGATGTGAAATTCTATGGGGAGCGGACAATGCCGTCCAAACCACAAGGTGTACGGTGGGTAACCGGTACTAGCCCGGACCGTGACGTTGTCCGCCCATATTGCATATCGAAAATATCGTGGCCAATCACTGTCCTTACCCTTGCACCACTTGGATAGTGACGCTATCAGAGTCCGGTGGCCCCTCTCTACTGGGGAGTTCGACTGTGGGTGACAGGCAGTGGCTATCGAAACTCTCGCCCCGACTCTCTTGAACACACTCTGAACCTCGTCAGCTAGAAACTCCGCCCCTCTGTCCATCACTATCTTGCTGACACAACCATACCTAGATAAGTACTCCAGGACRAAGTTCTTCACTTCCTTTGCCGTCTTACTCCTGATAGGTCTACCGTCCACGAACCYAGTGAAATCGTCTCGTATGTTCACGACGTAGTTCATATTGCCTACTCATTTCGGCATCTTCACCAGATCGATGTGTACCTTCTCTCCTGGTCTGGTGGGATAGGATGGATGGAGAGGCTCTTTGTACTTCACGAGAGCTCTCTTCTGGCACTCCTTGCAGGTCATACAGTACCTCTCGACATCCTTATACCGTCCTTCCCACCAGTACAACCTGCGTACCTTTTCGTCTGTCTCTTATACACATCTACTGCGTACCTTTTCGTAGGTTCCTTTGACTCCCCTGTGTCCTCCGACTACCCCGTCGTRAAGCTCCGCAACTATCGTCTGTCTCTCCTCAGGGTCACAGACTACTCGTAAGGGCATCCCCGAGCCGACCGGCCTTCGAAATAGATGGCCGGCTCTAAGGCAGTACTGCGCCGCTTGTCTCCGGATATCTGATTCTTGACTCTCCTCTCCTGACAAATGTAGCCCGATCGTTCGGTATTTGCCCTCATAAAGGTTAACCAGAAATCGCTCGGCGCGTCTCGGCTCCGCCATTGTCAGGGCTCCAGCTACTATCGGGCGCTCGGCCTCAAGAGGGATGCGCGAAAGCTCATCTGCCACGACATTTTTAGTGCCAGATATCCTCTCAACTGTGTAATCATATAGCCGAATCCGTATTAACCATCGAGCGATGGTCGGGTCCGTCAGACTAAAGTCCTTATGGAGGACAGAGGCAACCGCGGTGGGATCTACTCTCAAGATGAACCGTCGCCCATAGATATAGTGTCTGAACGTGTCTAGACACCGCAGAACAGCTAACACTTCCTTCTTGAATTGACTATAGTTTCGCTCAACCGTATTAAGTGTTCTACTCTCAAATCTTAACGGTCTTTCCTTCCCTCCAGCGTCCTTCTGAGACAACAATCCACCTACTGAACAAGGTCCAGCATCCGTGGATACTATGAAGGGTCTCCCAGCCTCATCATCAAAGAATGGCACGCCCAACACGCGTCCTCCCTCCTTAAATTCGTCTTTAAGCTCTTGCATAGTGAGTTCCTGCGAGGAATCCCAGTAGAATTTCTCAGTCTTTCGAATGAGTAACCTCAATGGCTCAGCCTTCTCCGCATACCCTCGTATGAATATACGCCAGTAACCGACCACTCCCAGAAACTGTCGGACCTCGGTTGGACTATGTAATGGTGACGGCCAATTCAGGAGTTTGTCTAGCTTCGCCGGATCTGCTCGGCGTCCTCTCGAGTCACAGATAAAGCCCAAGATCTTAATAGTCGAGACGGCCCATCGGCTCTTTGTTCCACTAACCGTTAAATTCGCATCGTCCAGCTGCTCAAGTACCGCGCAAATATATGTTAGGTGCTGCTCGACGAATCTTCTAACTCCTGGTACAACCTCTGTCTCATCCTTGTTTACTGGCCCTTTTATAGGAAAGTCATCCAGAAAAACTTCAACCTTATAAGGGATGAAGTCCTTGAGGACGGCCATCATGACTCTCTGAAAAACGGCTACCCCATTAGTCCAACTCATAGGGACAACCATCATCTGTAACAGTCCCAATGGCGTGTGCATAGCCGTGAGGTGCCTGTCCCTAGGATCAAGCGGTACCTCATCATAGCCTGAGAACAGATCACAGACCGAATAAATCGCCCTGCCTTCGGCCAGTAAGTCGGCGTGCGGCACGGAGCCCACGTCTCGTATCATCACGGCGTTGACCTTCTGAAGGTCCTGGATCCATCGGATCTTGCCATTCGGCTTCCGTAGGAAGAACCATCGATTAGCATAGGCGCTATCAGACGGCTCCGCAACATGGGAAACCATCTTTTCTTTCAGGAAAGCGATAACTTCTTCCTTCTCCTTCTGGGCGTATTTCCATCCTGCGTCATTCCAAGGAACATGTGGAACCGTGTAAATCCTTGCTGGCTTAGCGTATCGAGGATCAACCCTACCGCGCTCTGCGTCGCTGAAAGCTATTGCCTTATCACATGTCTTCAGGATTTCTATCACACGTTCTCACTCCTCTGGGGTCAAATTTCCATCTCCGATGTCCATCCCTGCTATCCTCTCTTCCGTTAGGCGTTGCGGCTCCTTTTTCTTTCTTTCTTTGATTTCTTTTGCGATCTCTTCTTCCGATATCCCTTCCAGTGCAGATCGTTCGCGGCCCACCGCCGCTGGCTTAACTTTTTGTGCTACTCGCTTGTGTCGCTTGGGTAGCCCCCAATAGGGGGCCGTGCCCTTAAAAAAGACACAGACACCACCCCGCCAAATTCCTCATCTGTCTCCTTTGGGTACGAGTTGTCGTCCACTATCAGCCGACTCCCTAAGTCTTCCACCTCCACGATCCGACCTTCTTCCTCTGTGAGCAGTGGTCCATACTTCTTCTCGCGAAATCGCACCGCGCGACTGGAGATAGGTAATGACTTAATCTGATCACTGGGTCTTGCACCCACAGCAAGAGCTGCTCTGTTCGGGTCCCGAGGCTCCACTGTCTCAATCATAACCCGCGTCCCATCTAGCCTCTTAATGGACAATGTCTGACTCCCATCCGGTCGCTCTATCGTCACCGCGTGCACGTGGCTCAACCACGTTCGTCCCAAGAGCAGATCGGAGCTGCGGTTCTTAACTGCAAAGACAGGCAGAGTCACTCGTACTCCTTAGACTTCTATAGTTGCCTTGTGACAAACCCCGGTGATCTGTTGCTTTCTTCCATCAACCGTCTCTATCTTGAATAGGTATGACCTATCGAGGCCCAGTCCAACCTGTACTGCTAGATCCTCGTCTATAATGACAGCCTCACTGCCGTTATCGATCACAACATCTAGTACCGCCCCGTCGTTTATAATCGCCTCCACAGCCCCACTACGAAGTATGTAAAACTTGTCTGGAGGCACACCTTCCATCCCATCAAGAAGGACTGTCGCCATGCAATCTGCTCTGGCAGTCACCTCCGTCTTTGTTACTGTAGGAGCTTTCGCCTTAGGGGCCCCCTGAGCCTCCTCTGATAGAGGTATACGAGTCTTCCACGTGATCATCTGTAACTCATCGCGAGCCGGCTTCGATGCCGCCAGGTACTCCAGAATAGAGCACTGCATGGGCTGCCGAAGGGCCCGTCTCAGTGGCTCGACCGTGTCAATCTCATCCAGCGAATTCTTCATCAAGAACTTCTTCACTCCCCGCTTTCGCGACGAAAGAATAACCTCCTCTCCATCGATCCCCTGTCCGTCCTTCTCCGCCATCACGTAATCCTTGTCGGTCTTCTTCGATGTAGACCCTCTCGCGGACTTGGTAGCTGCCACCCTTATGGGTGTGGTCGCCATATCTCCTTCGAAAGTTATCTTGATGCTCTGGCTCCTAACCGGCTCCTTTCCTTTACTCGGCTTTACTATCCTTGCTTCGACATTCTCCTTCATCGAAGGGAACATCGATACGTCTCCCAGATCATCTGCCCACTTGAAGTACTTGCGGTCATCAAGCACGACAAGTCCTTCATCTATTGCCCGTTTGAGATCCGGGCAATCTCTCTTGATATGATCATCCCCCCTACAGTAAACGCAAGAGTTCCTGGGTGTGGGTGGTCTGTCGTCTGCGCCTCTTGAAGTCGAACCTCTCGCTGCTCTGGGGTTAGGGGACTTCGGATACGGTTTTGCAGAAGCGCCATATCCCCCTCTCTCATTCCTGCCACGCGAATCATTGCGGCGGTCTCCGTGTTCGTATCGCCCGCGTGAATCATCACGTCGGTCTCCTCGGTCGTATCGCCCGCGTGAATCATCACGTCGGTCTCCTCGGTCGTACCACCCGCGTGAATCATCACGTCGGTCTCCTCGGTCGTATCGCCCGTGTGAATCATCGGGTCGATCTCCTCTCTCATATCTGCCGCCCCTGTATCCGTCTCTATCCGACCTCTCATATCTGTCGTCTCTATGTCCATCGTGGTCCGATCTCTCATATCTGTCGTCCCTATGTCCATCTCGGTCCGATCTCGCCTATCTACCATCCCTGTATCCGTCTCGCCGGCCCTGATCCGACTCCCACCGGCCTCGAGAGTCGCCTCTATCCCCGTCAGGCTCATAGCGAGGGCTACGCGAGTAGTCATCTTGTCTCCTAGCACGCCCATACGTCTCGCGAGTCCTGCGGTCCCGGTCTATCTCATCATCCCTACGTCGCCATGGCTCATCGTCTCTCTCCCTTTCCCTCGCACGATAATCAGTCAGCGTTCGAGGATTTCTATCCTCGACACTCCTCCAGGAATCAGTGTTCCTCCGGTCCCAGCGAAGTGAATAGGGTCCTCCGGGCTTGTCCCGGTATGTCGTGGCTCCTGTGGTGGTCACAATCTCTGTAACCTGTCTTGTCAATCCCTTTACCATGTCCCTTATCTCCTTCACTT